GGGGGGCCCCCAGCCGGACCAGCGACCCAGGCGGGGAACAAAAAAGAGAAGGTGCCCACGTAGTGAGTTCATTGCACGTGATCTACATAACATCACGCCAGATATTCGATCATCCCGCCGGTGTCGGTGATGAAGTCCTTCTCCACCAGCTGCTGCACCAGCGACTTGAAGGTGCTGGCCGAGGGGGCGACGAAGCGTGGTTCCAGTTGTTCGCGAACGCGAGTCGCGAGGTCGGCGACCGAGATGGGATCGCGCAGGGGCTTCACCACCCGGACGATGGCCGCCTGGATGATGGGGTGGGGAGCCTGTGCCGCGGGGGACTGGGTGCCCGGAGTCGCGCCACCCAGAGCCAGACCCTGATCCGAGGTGCTGCCACCAACAGCGGTTGTTGGGTGTCCATCGCCCTTGAGAACCAGCAGAAGCGAAGCCTCTGGACGTTTCCTGATGGCCGGGCGGTGTCAGTGTGAGAGGCAGTCCCGGCCCATGGTGTGCGTGTGCGTGTGCGTGTGTGTGCGTGTGCGTGTGCGTGTGCGCTAAGGGGGGCACAGGCAGGTGGGGTGGCCGTAGCCATGGGGCATGCGTACATCCGGAAGTTGAGGTTCAGTCGGAAGAGGGCTTGCTGAGAGCCACCCTCGGCGATCGAGTCGCCACCCTCCTCCAGAAGGAGCCTCCCTTGAACAAAGTGGTTGAGAATCTGGAACCACAGTGGCAACACGAGTGGTAAGAGGAACATCGGTGGTGAGAAAGATGGACCGCGAAAGGACCTCTGAAGGCGGAGGACGAGGAGAAAGGGGCCCGAGGCAAGACGCGAGCGCGACGGGAGGGATTGTTGCACGCACCTGGTCCAGGGTGTTGGCCGGCAGGCCGGAAGCTCGGGCCAACTCGGCGCGGGTGTACGTCAGATGAGCATTGAACAGCAGCAGTACCACCATCTGCGAGGTGGCCATCTTCAGCTGGTATCCTCCCTCCACATCGGGCGGATGGAAGGCCAGTGTCCCATGGCTGACATTCAGCTGCCAGTGCAGGGAGCGTCGGTTGTCATCTTGGAGGTTGACCTTCTCGAAGGCTTCAACAAGAACAGCCAGCTGTATGGGTGCCCCCGCGCCCCCGCACAGGAGGGACCAGGCGAAAGAGGGCAAGGGGCAGGCGGAGGGAGGAACTTGTGAGCAAGAGTGAAGGACAAGAGGCGAGGAGGGAGATGGCAGTATGATGGGCGTACCTCATGGGGAAGGTTAAAGCAGGTTGGCGCCTTAAGCAGTGGCCAGACATGCATGCTGATGACGGAAACCTTCAACTCG